TAAACTTAAAAAAAAAAAAGCCAACACAGTTGGTCACTTACCGTGTGCCAGGCGGTGGGTGGTTACTGGCTTTTAACCATCTCAGTAGCCTTATAAGAAGAGGATGTTATTAGCCCCAGTTTACAGGTGAAAAAACTGAGACTCAAAATCACACAGAACATTAGAGGTTAAGCCAGGATTCAAACCCAGGTCACACATTTCTGAACTATTTGGGGATTATGCTCAGTGTTGGGAGAGGAATTACACCTTCTTGGGTGGTTTGTTTGTGGTCACTCCCAGACTCAGCCTCCCTCACAGTAGTCTTGGGCACTCCAGGTTTCCCAAGGATGGCAATAAAAGCAGAGACCAGTCTGGTATGAAGAACTTGGAACACTCAATGCCCTTAGGGAGCCTCAGGTATTGTGAGAGGGATATGCCAGCACCTGTCCCAGAAAGTATATAAGCTCCCCACTTTGCAGCTTCCTTCACTCTCCTCCCCCACGTTCCTATCACCATAGCATCCATTCCTATGATAAGCAGCAAATGAGAGAAGGAAGGGAAGAGCCTATGAACTTGACCAGCAGCTTTGTCACCAACTCAAAGTTCTTTGGGGTCTCCTCCAGCAAGGGTTTTGACTTCTCAGTGGCTCTTGGTACTCCATGGCCCAGCATCAGAGGCAACAGTACCTTCAACATCATCATCATCATTATCATACTTCATTTTGTTTTTTGATCCCAAAGGGAAATTAAAGAATGAGGAATATACACCAGAAAAAAATTGGAGTTACCAATTTCAGCCAGGTTGCAGGACACAAGAGTAATATACAAAAATCAGTTGCATTTCTATACATTAATAAGGAACATTCAAAAAATGAAATTAAGAAAATAATTTCATTTACATCAGCATCCAAAAGTAAAATACTCCAGGTATAACGCTAACTAAAGAAGTGCAAGATTGGTACACTGAAAACCACAATACCAACAGTATTGTTGAAGGAAATTAAAGACTACCTGTGAAAAGACACCTACGTTACGCTAAGTGAAAGAAGCCAGTCACTAAAGACTATATGAGTCTCTTGATATGAAATATCCAGAACAGGGAAATCTATAGAGATAGAAAGTAGATTTGTAGTTGCCAGAGGCTGCAATGGGGGAGCAGGAAATGGGGAATGGCTGCTAATGGGTACAAGGGTTGGTTTTTGGGGGGGTGATGAAGATATTCTATAAGTAGATTGTGGTGATAGCACAGCTTTGTGAATATACTAAAAAAATCACTGAATTGTACTTTAAGGATGGTGAATTTATGGTATGTGAATTATAACACTTAAAATTTTTTTAATTTAAGAAGGAGACAATACTACCTAAGAGTAAAGATGGAAAGTAGATTGTCTCAGGGTGCTACCCAGAGCATCGTTACAACTCTGGTGGGGCACCCCCAAATCCCCTTCCATCTCCTATTTTCAAGCCATCCCCATCTCACCTTACAGCTCTCTGAACTCTCCCCACTTGCCTCTTCCCAGCAACGCTCACCCTGCTCACCCTGTAGAAAGGCTTCTCCTGGGCCCCTCTGTACTAGCCCAACTGGTTCTGACATGACCCATCTAAGGGAGGGTGGATAGAAATATGACCGCCCTGGGGCCCGAGGGGCCTGAGAGGCAGCCTTTTCACATTTCCTAGTAACCACCTAGAAGGAGGGGTTTCAGGGTGTGGTGTGGGTGGCCCTGTCTGCCTCCCTGCCATTGTTTGCTTCTGTGGTGTTGCCATGGTCCCCTGAGAGTTTGGCAAACTAGGTGCTAAACACAATCTGGGGATTTACTTGGAGAAGGCATGCAGTGTGGGTGTGGCTTGGAGGTTCTCCTTTGTTTCAAAGGAGGGAAATTAATTTTTTTTTTTAAGATTTTATTTATTTATTTGACAGAGAGAGAGATAGCGAGAGCAGGAACACAAGCAGGGGGAGTGGGAGAGGGAGAAGCAGGCTTCCCGCAGAGCAGGGAGCCCAATGTGGGACTCGATCCCAGGACCCTGGGATCATGACCTGAGCCGAAGGCAGACGCTTAACGACTGAGCCACCCAGGCACCCGGAGGGAAATTAATTTTGCTGGCCTCAAGACACTCCACACTTCCTGGGGTGTGGACCCAGGCTTCCTAACCCATGATGATGATTTAGACCATTTATTGAGCACTTACTATGTTCCAGGCACAATGTTAAACCCTCCAAGGGAAGACAGGCCTGGGCTGTGGTTCTGGTGCAGGTTCCAGAGTCAGACAGGCTTGGGGTCAAATCTTGGCTCCCCATTTCCTGACTGCGTGGCCTCAGAAAATTTTCTTACTCTCTCTGATCTTCCATTTCTTTGTAAAATGGGGATCCCCTACCTGTTTCCAAATGGTCCGATAATGATGTAATGCTCTCAGCACAGAAGAAATGCCCCACTAATGGGAGACTGTGAGCTCCATGCAAACAGAGACCTAATCTATCTGGTTTATTGCAGTATCCCCAACATTCCCCTCCACATGCTCTTCACTTTCCCACCTCCATGCCTTTGCCCATGCACTTTCCCTCCACCTGGGATGCCCTTTCCTCTACTCCAGTCTCCATCCTTCTTTTCTTGAAAATCTGGCTCAAATGCTACCTGCATCTCATTGGGGTGACTTCTGTGCCTGGGTCCTCTCTCTGTTTAGGATGGAAGCTCCTGGAGCTGAGACTGTGGGATAACCTAATAGTGCAGAGTGCTTAATTGCATGGGCTTAACTCTGGCTAAGTTTATTTAACTTCTCTATACCTCAGTTTGCTTGTCTATAAAATGGGCTTAACCATGGTACCCACCCCTAGGGGTGTTCTGAGATTTAAATGAGGCAATGTGGGCGCCTGGGTGGCTCAGTTGGTTAAGCAGTCGCCTTCGGCTCAGGTCATGATCCCGGGGTCCTGGGATCGAGTCCCGCATCGGGCTCCCTGCTCTGCGGGGAGCCTGCTTCTCCCTCTCCCACTCCCCCTGCTTGTGTTCCCTCTCTCGCTGTATCTCTCTCTGTCAAATAAATAAATAAAATCTTTTAAAAATAAATAAATAAATAAATAAATAAATAAATAAATAAATAAATAAATGAGGCTATGTACTTAGGATGGGGTTTGGCGTGGAATAAGCCTTCAGTAAGTATAATAAACCTGCACTGTCCAATATGGTAGCCACAACCCACATGGGGTGATTTAAAGTAAAATTAATCAAAATTGAATTTAATTCCATTCACACTTGAATTCCTCAGTCTCATTAACCATTTTCCTGTGTGACTAGTGGCTACCAAATATGTTCATTAGGACAACCCAGATACAAAACATTTCCATCTTTGCAGAAAGTTCTATTGGGTGGCGTTATAAGTGATGATGCTCTGTGCACAATGGGCACTCCTCCTGGCTCTCCCTGCCCAGCCTCTGATGTCCCTAGAAATAACCGGGGCGCCTCACATGAAAGGGATGAGGGAAAGAAAGGAGACTGGTGGGAAATAAGCAGGATTAGGGGCTAATGAGAGGGCAGTGGAGGAACACAATCTCTACCTGCTCCCAGCCTGGCAGGAAGTCGGTGTTGACAGCAGCCAGGGACTTTGCAGAAAGAGGCTGGAAAATGAAGTGGGGCGGGGTTGAGGTGTGGAGTTACCTAACTGCTCCCGGCAGGTGCCTCAGACGGAGGGAGATGGCTAAAGATGCACCCCCTTCTCCTCGTGGGTCAGAATCTATCAGGGACCCAGAGCAAGGAAGGTGTCTAGCACTAACCAGCGTCAGCTCAAGAAGTCCCAAGCTAGCCCAGGGGTGGGGACGCAGGATGCCCACAGACAGGGAATCAGGGAGAGCCCTGGGCAGAGCGGCTTGAGCTGGCCCAGCGGTTGTTTCAGCCCACATGGACCCCTCAAGTCCTGAAGATATGGCCACATGGATGTGCAGTGCTCTCAAGCAGATGTGCTCCTGTTTTTTTTTATAAACAGTCATTGACAATGTGGCCTCTGCTCTCTTGGAGCTACTGACAGCTGGACAAGAATAATCCCTTAGATGTGATGACCCTTGACAGTCTATATGTCTCCTTAGATCTTCCCTCCAACTGCGTAAGGACAGGGCAAGCACTGATAGCCCCATTCCATAAATGAGGCAAGTGACACTCAGAGATGTCCTCTTGAAAGGGAGGTCTCATAGGGGAATGGGGAACCTGGCCAGGCCTCACAAGCAGGTCTGATGGTGGACCATCAGGCAGCATGACAGAAATCAAAGGACAGGGAAGTCTTCCGGGCTTCCTTCATCGCCTTGCATACTTGCTGGACACCCCTCACTGATCGGGTGTTTAAAATCCCAAGAAACACCCTCACTGCCCCAAGACCATCAGTATGCCCCACCTCTCCCTTAGGGCCCCCGGGGAATGTGGGATCCCAGACAAAGACCCTCATGTCCTCATGATCTCAGCGATGGGAAGGCAGGCAACAGGGTGGGGCGTGCTCAGTCCTTCCCCATGTTGAAGGTGCAGGGCCAGCATCGCATGCTAGGATTTGAAAGACACCAGGAAAAGTAGTGTCAGCCCTGTGGAAAAAACAAACCTTCAGCAAGGACACATTTGAGTTCCATTTCTCTGCCTCGAATATGGACGCTTCGTGCAAAAGGATGTGAGTTTCCCACCCCAAAAAACTGAATGAAACGTTTACCAGACTGACCAAGTCCCTGACTCTTACCAGTCAGAGCTGGGTATAGGGGGTGACCTTTGCACAACCTTCGGTGTGGGGTCTCTTCATTAAGGAGACGGGGAGATTGATGACGGGAGAGAAAGGGTGCCTGCAGGGGGCAGTCCTCATTCCTCCCAAAATCCCCCCCTTCTCTGTAGGCCTGGGAGCACGGGTGGGGGTTTTACAGGCATTCAGCCTGGGCTCCCATGCCCTCTGGCATGCCTTCTTGTGCCCTCCTGCCCCCCAGACCTGTCCCAGATCCAAGCATGGGACCTCATTTAATCCCAATTATGTAATGTGCAATCCAACAGTTGGCCAAGAAGGAGGTGCCTGGAGCCGCACCCAGGAGTGGGGGCAAAAGGCCGCAGCTGAGTAGGGCCACAGATCAGGCTTGGTTTCTGCCGGCAGCGGCCCCCACTCCTCCAGACACCATGAGTGGCCGAGTTGGAGACCTGAGCCCCAAGCAGGCGGAGACCCTGGCCAAGGTGAGAGAGCCTCTTTCCCTGGAGCCCCAGCAGAAAAGGGCTGAGGAGAGGGGGGCGGGGGTGGCTGGAACCCTGCCCCACTCTGTTTGCTCGGCGTGTTTTTGACATTTTCTCTTTACTGTCACCTTACCCAGGGTTATGTTCTACAGTAGCCAGTGGTATCAGCTCTGTCCAGGGTAGGGACCGAGGGAAAAGTACCACTTCCAAGCAGTAACAGTGTGTGTGCCAGATCAAACTTGACTTCTCGTGTGAGAGCCAGAACCAGAGAGCTTTACCCACAGCTGCCCCCTCCCCATCCCTCCCAGGCCCCTTAGGTGGGGAACTGAAGGATGCTAGTGGTGTGCCCTCTGACTCTGTTCCCTCTCCTTCCCCGGGACCTGAAAGATGACCTGTCTGTAAGAGTGAGAGAGAGAGAGAGCAGGGTGTGATGTCATCCCCACAACCAATGGGGAAGAGAACATGTAATCACTAATCATGCTTTTGTAGAAAATGGGATGAAAAAAGGCGGAAGCCTCGGTGGGCTAACACATGGAAAAAACTATGAATACACTCATACTCCAATCCACTTACCCACCCACCCACTCATTTATCCTTTCTTTCATCCATCCTCCCACCCCACCCACCCATCCATCTATCCCTCCTTCTGTCTATTCACCTACCAATCACTCTTTCCTCCACTTACCCATCTCTCCCTCCTTCCATCCACTGATTTCTCCTTCCTTTTTTTTCCATCCACCCACCCACTCATCCAACCACCCATTCATCCATCCATTCTTCTTTCTATCCATTTACTCCAGATCTATCCTTCCATCCATTCATCTACCCATCTATCCATATACCATCTCTCATCCTATCCATCTGTCCACCCATCCTTCCATCATCATGGGCCAGACTGCATGTGGAAGGGAAGGGATGAAGACAACAATTATTGGGACGCCTGGGTGGCTCAGTCGTTAAGCGTCTGCCTTCGGCTCAGGTCATGATCCCAGGGTCCTGGGATCGAGTCCCACATCGGGCTCCTTGCTCAGTGAGGAGCCTGCCTCTCCCTCTCCCTCTGCTGCTCCCCCTGCTTGTGCTCTCTCTCTCTCTGACAAATAAATAAAGAAAAATCTTAAAAAAAAAAAGACAACAATTATTGAGTTTGGGGGCCAATATTCAGTGCAAAAGCCACTTTAATCAGCATCTCCTTTCCCAGTTCCGAGAAAATGTGCAGGACGTGTTGCCCACCCTACCCAATCCTGATGACTATTTCCTTCTGCGCTGGCTCCGAGGTGAGGGAAGAGGTGGGGGAGATCAGGGTGAGGGGCAGCGAGAGGGGCCTTGTCCCAACTGCTTCAGAAGAACTCACGGCTCTCAGGATCCAATCACACCATCCTGCTTCACATGTTCAGATCCAGGAGAGGGGAGGGTGCAGGGAAGGAAGGTCCTACCCAGGCCCCCAGTGCCATGCATAGCTCCTCACACCCCAGGACCAGGACAAAGTGACTACAAGGTAGCCTCTCTCCTGCCTCACACCTTCCTTCCATCTTCACACAGCTCGGAATTTCGACCTGCAGAAATCAGAGGCCATGCTCCGCAAGGTGAGACCTGTCCACCCCTGGAGATTTGGGAAGGGTTTTGTGGGGGGCAGTCCACACCTCGAGCCCCCATCTCCATCCCCTTCTTGGAGGTGCTGGGAGCCCAACGGGGCCTTACCTCTCCTCTCCCTTTCAGTACATGGAGTTCCGGAAGTCCATGGACATTGACCACATCCTTGATTGGCAGCCCCCAGAGGTGAGCCAACACCTCCCCAACACCCCAGTCTTTTACAGACATAACATTAAAGCAGCCTCTAGGTCACTGGAGAGCATGAGTGAAGGGCAGCATGCCCGAGAGGCCCGTGGAACTGCCCACAGGCATGCAGGCACCTCTCCTCTAATAATTAGGGATATTTTCTGGGTGCTTATGAGGTCCTGGCCTGAGATGAAACTTTACCTGCATGAACTCATTTAGTCATCACAACTCAGTGAGATGGGTACAATTGTCCCCATTTTACAGATGAGGACACTGAGGTCCAGCAAAGGTTAAGCACGCCAGCCAAAGCCCCACAGCCCCAACGTGGAACTGGGATTTGAATTCATGAAACTGGTCCTTCACCACCACCATTAGCTTGTGCCTCTGGGCCCTCACCCCTAGGGTCTTGCTTAAAGCATCCCGTCTGTGTGGGAAAGAAATTTAGCCCACCAAGTTGTCGGAGAGAACAGTCCCACCACTGGCACCTTGGTAAAGCAATGGGCAAAGTTTCATTTGTAGAGCGTGAGCTCTGGCTCAAGCACTGTGCTTGGCCAACGTGATATTGGGCACTTTCCCTAAGGGAGGGGTTATCCAAACCTTCTTAGAGAAGAGGAAGTGGAATGGGACTCAGGTAGGTTTCACTTGTTCAAGGATGCACAGCAAGGAATCAGCAGTGTCTCTATTTGAACCAAGTATGTTGGCCTTCAATATCCATGTTTTCCATCACTAAGCCCAACTTCTCTCAATGCAAATGGACGTGGGAGATGCTGGGGGACAGAATTAAGAAGCCCAGAGGGCTTCAGCCAGGCCCAGCTGAGGCCTGGCTCTGCCATGTACTCGCTATAAGCAAGGCCCTCCCCTCAGGGTCCCTTAGTTTTCTCACCTGGACAATAGTGCCACCCTTCAGGGAGAGTGCTTGTATCATGCTGTGTGTAGGCTTGGGCCAGCCAGGTCAGCCTAGTCTGGGGGTCTCCGGAGAGGTGCATAATGCCAAGTTCTGTGTATCTTTCCATGCCCAGGTGATCCAGAAGTACATGCCCGGAGGCCTGTGTGGCTATGACCGGGACGGCTGCCCGGTGTGGTACGACATCATTGGGCCACTTGACCCAAAGGGCCTGCTCTTCTCCGTCACCAAGCAGGACCTGCTTAAGACCAAGATGAGGGACTGTGAGCGCATCCTGCATGAGTGTGACTTGCAGACGGAACGGGTAAGGCACAGGCTGAGCAAGGCGGGCAGCTGGGTGCAGGTGAGGATGCCAGGGGACATAGTCCCAAGAACACACTGTGCTCTCTGCCATCACAGTCAGAGGACTCTGGGGTTAAACCATCTCAGCAGCTCGGCTGCTTCCCAGCTGTGTGGTCTCGGAGGGTCATGTCACCTCCCTAAGCCTATTCCTCACCCACAAAACAAGAATAAAAATAAATAATGTTGCAAAGATTAAAGGAGATAATGCAAATGCATGGCCCAGCACACAGCCTCATGCATATTTCTCAACAATACAAGTTACTGTTATTCCCTCTGAGTCTTTGCCCCTGCTGTTCCTTCTGTTTGGATAACTTTATCCCCCAGCACACCGCTACCTCCCACACTTCTCTTGGCTCTTTCCCTTTTATCATTCAAGTCCCAAACTTAGATGTCACCTCCTCTGAGGTCCCTGTCTGGGTTAACGTGTGTCCCCAAAGCTCCTAAGCTGTTTATTTGCAGCACTTACCTCAGGACTTATAGTGACCTGGTTGCTTTTCAGTCTCTCCAAGTAGACTGAACCCTTTGAGGACAGGAGTATTATATGTTATATTCTCCATGTCTGGCACAAAATAGGTGCTTAATAAATATCAATTGGACAGAGGGATGGATGGATGATTGAATTGTAGTATGAATGGATGGATGGGTAAATTGATGGATGGGTGGGTCAATTAATGGATGGATGGACAAACGGATGGATGGATGATAAATGGATAATGGATGATGGATGGATGGATAGATGGATGGATGGGTAGGTGGAAGTGGGTAAATGCATTCAGTTTTGTCCACTTATTCCTCTGAGGACAGAGTAGGGGACTGGGAGAATCGCTGAGGGGTCATATGCTAGGGTCACCATGTCCCAAGTTCTGAGCCTGCACCCTGAACCTTGGGACTGGTCTTTGTTTTCATCCTTGCAGCTGGGGAAGAAGATTGAGACCATTGTGATGATATTTGACTGTGAGGGCCTGGGACTGAAACACTTCTGGAAACCTCTAGTGGAAGTGTACCAAGAGGTGAGGAGAAGGCCCCCTGGGTGACCCCTGCTTCCTTAATGATGAGCTTGGTCTGCTGTGACCTTGTGGATCACTCAGAGCCAGGATTTGGTAAAAGGTGGTAGACTTCCCAGGCTCTGGCACTGCAAATCAGGACCCAAAGGGCCTTAATGTGTTTCCCAAAAGACAGGCCTCAGATTCAACACTGTACTGAGACCATAGTGGCCACCTTCTGCCAAACCTTCCCAGCTCTGTCCTCCCTAGCTCTGTGACTCCAGCAAGTCATTTCATGCCTCCATGCTTCAGTTTCCTCATCTACAAAATGTAAATACCAATAGTCTGCATTTCAAAGGGAGGTAGGGATATTCCAGTGGGTTGATATATAAAATGTGTACACAGTGCTTGACAAATTGTGAACATTTAATAAACAATAGTCATTATTAGTGCTATACTACTATTACTATAAGATTTATTCTGAAAATGATTATTATCAGAGTGTGGTTGTAATAGTCTGAAGTGAGAAACTCTCCTCCAGAGGTCAGTGGAGGTGATGGAAATAAAGGAAACCCTCCTTAGCCCTTTGAACACTCCAGAGGGGAGATTGCAAAGGTTATGGGGATAGGAGAAGATAAGATGAGATGTGGGCTCTGATGGGGTCTTTCTTGGTTCCACAGTTCTTTGGCCTCCTTGAAGAGAATTACCCAGAGACCCTGAAGTTCATGCTCATTGTGAAAGGTGTGTGGCAAATGACTTCACCTTTTTGTGCCTCTTTTCCTCATTTGTACCCTGGGAACAATAAAAGTGCCTTCTTCTCTGGGTAGTAGTGAAGCAGGTTGGTTGCTTGGCTGCATGCAAATCACTTAGAGTGCCTGGAACAAAGAAAGTGTTCCATAAATAATAATTTCTATGGTTGGCCTTACTGCAAGAAGAGGCATTCCCAACACTAGCTCTTTCAGGAATCCTCTCTCATTTCTCCCACCCATGTTGATCTCTCCATTCCCAAACTGCCTGTGGCATTGACAGCTGGAGCAGCCAAGTCTGGCCTTTCCTGTCTGCTGCCTTCTGGAGGTCTCTAGTTGTCCTGTGTGTGTTCATCCTGGTTTTTTCCTGAGTTGTCTGCTCCTTGAAGGCAGGGCCTTTGATTTTCCACTTCTGTTGTATCCTTCACAGGCCTGGAACCATGTGGATGCTTAATATGTATTTGTATTGTTGAATGGGTTGATGGATAGAAGGATGGATGGACGTTTGATGGTTGGCTGGTTAATTGGTTGGTTGGTTGATTATTTGGTTAGTTGGTTGTTAGTTTACTGGCCAGTTGGTTGGCTGTCTAGATGAATGACTGGTGGCTGGTTGGATAGTTAGTTGGTCAGTTAAGTGACTGGTTGATTGGTTGGTTTGTTGGATAGTTGTTAGCTTGGTTGACCGATTGAGTGACCAGCTGGCATTTTGTTTGGGTGGGTAGGTGAGTAGCAAGTTGGCAGATTGGTTAGTCAGCTGGCTGATCTGTCATTTGGATGGATCTTGGATGGTTGGCTGGCTGCAGAAGGCAATTGGCTGTGTGGTTAGCTTGTTGCTTAATAGGCTGATGGGTTTTCTGGTTGGCTGATTTGTTAGTTGGTTGTATGACTATTTGGTAGATTGGCTGACTGGTTGGTAGTCTGATTGGTGGGCTGACTAGAAGGTAAATTGATTGGCCATTTTGTTGGTTGGTTGGTAGATTGGATGATTGACTGGGTAGCTGGTTGGTTAACTGCTTGTTGGTTGTTTGACCAGTTGTGGGCATGGTTTGGCAGTTGCAGGGCATTTTCCAATTCATGACTCCTCCATATTGTTGGCTATGACTATGATGGAGAGAGTGTCCCAGTGGAATAATTTTCTTCTCCATTATCTTTGTTTGTATCTCTCCAGCCACCAAACTGTTCCCTGTAGGCTACAACCTCATGAAGCCCTTCCTGAGTGAAGGCACTCGCAGAAAAATTATAGTATTGGGAAGTAAGTAATTCTAGCTCTATCCCCTGAGCTCTGTGCCACCTAGAGTCAGAAATTCCTCCTCAAAAGTGAAGTGAAATGTGTTTTACACTATAGGGTCTTTCCAGGTATCTCTGCCTCATTCCATGTCATTGGTGACAGAGGCCTCACACCTTCCTCCTCATCAGTTTCAGTTTGGTTGATAGTCAACCTCTGGGCTATGGGCCTCATTTTCCTTTCAATAGTCATCACCTCAGTGCTTCTAAAGGCAATTTGGGCTGGGGAGGATGAGGAAGAACAGCAGGAAGAGGAGATGTGATTCAGAGAAGGAAGGGTCAACAAGAAGGGACTGGATAAGTAAATAATAATGCATCCATTTGATGAACTATTGGAAAACTATGAAAAATGATTTGATGCCAAGGGAAATATTATTAAGTTTTTAAAAAGCAGATTATAAAGTGGTGTGGATAGTATCATCTTCCTTGTAAAAACAAAAATATATTGCTAGAAGAAAATGCAACAAAATGTTGATTTGTGGATGGCAAGAAATCAAGTGGTTTTTTAATTTTATTTTTTGTATTTTTTCTGTTTCCTAAAGTTTTTATAATAACATGTATTACTTTTATAAGTAGAAAAAATCATTATTTTAAAAAATGGTAAGGAAAGAGAAAGAAAGAAGAGAAATAGTTCTTAAACTCAAGCCAATGACCTTGAACTTGGAGACAACTTCTTGCAAGCAGAATGGTCAGATCATCAAATCAGGAGATCTAAGGATCTGGGCGGGTAGAATCTTACAAATCCTGCTTTCTTTCTCTTCCTGATACTTGAGTCTGTCTCTGCCCAGTTCCGCGGGGATAGGGAGCTAGGTGGATCACAAGGTAGCCCCCCAAGTCCTGGAGCAACGTGGGTAATGCCACACCCCAGGTCCAAGTCCAGGGCTCGTCCTACTTAGTGGCACACAGGGCCCTGTGCATTTGGCCCTGGTGTACCAGGCATTGTGGTCTTTGCTTTTATCCCACTGGTGGCAAGGAATATCCCATGGCCACAGTAGGGCTGGAGGTGGGCAAGGGAGATAGTCGGGATTGGTCATAAGACCCAGAATGCTTAGAGCCTTGCACAGGGCATGAAGAACAGTAATGAGCATTATGGCTTTAGTGATTAAGCAGCACAGAAAGGGAAGGTCCATTCAAAGGCCCAGGACTATCCATCCCCTACCAAGAGGTCTGTCTTGAGTATGCCACTTATATGTTATATGGCCCCCAACAAGGTCCTTGACCTCAAATGCTGTAAAGTCTCCTTAAGACAATTAGATGATTCTTATCTTCACTACTCAGGATTGGAAGACCCTCAAAAATGTGCAAACCCATCAGCTCAAAGGAAACATTTTTCCATAGCAACACAATGCTGGAAGACACTTTCTGCAGCCCGAGTCCTGGAAGGCTGGGGAATTGGCCCTGGTACCCTAGTCCCTGTAGGGCTTTCCCAAGCTCAGGCCCCCCCTGGTGGGAATGGGGGGCTGACAAGTACCCTCCATGCCTGATAACAACCCTTCAACCCCTCTGCCCACAGGCAACTGGAAGGAAGGTTTGCTGAAACTCATCAGTCCCGAGGAACTGCCTGCTCAGTTTGGGGGGACTCTGACTGACCCAGATGGGAACCCCAAATGTTTAACTAAGGTACGAAGAGCCCCAGACAGGGGAGGGGAGAGGAGTAGAGCTGAGTTCCTTTCTCACCCACTCACTCATTCCACAAATGTCTATGGAGAGACCCCTGTGAGCCAGGTATTGAGCTAGACAGTCCCAGCCCTACTATCACCGGGCTCTCAGCAGCTGTGCAGGCAAACAAGAAATGAGGAAAATGACTCTGAGGGATGAGCAGGAAGGGGAAGTTTCCAGACGAGGCTTTGACCCTGGAGGGTCAAGGAAGGCTTTCTGAGGGTGGTGGGGAGAGGACAGGGTGAACAGGATACTTCCAGAAGATGGTGAAAGCATCTCAGGCGGGAGAAATAGCATAAAACAGCACAAGCAATGCAATGGTCAAAAGAGGGAAGCAAACCCATTCTGTCCTGTGTCTGCAGATCAACTATGGTGGGGAGATCCCCAAGTCCATGTATGTGCGGGACCAAGTGAAGACTCAGTATGAGCACTCGGTGCAGATCAATCGTGGCTCCTCACACCAGGTGGAATATGAAATTCTGTTCCCAGGCTGTGTCCTCAGGTAAGGGCCAGGACACCAACCCATCTCTGGCTGGTCTTACACCCTCAGGGTCCCATCAGACTGAGCAGCAATTTGTCCCCCTCCCACCGCCCACCCAGGTGGCAGTTCTTCTCTGATGGTGCAGACATTGGCTTTGGGGTTTTCCTGAAGACCAAGATGGGGGAGCGGCAGCGAGCTGGGGAAATGACAGAAGTACTCCCCAGCCAGCGTTACAATGCCCACGTGGTGCCTGAGGATGGGAGCCTCACCTGCTCAGAAGCTGGTGTCTGTAAGTCTACCCTGGCTGGGCCCCAGCTCTGGAAGGCTGGAGCCACCTGTCCCATGGTTTAGAGGAGGAAACAGAGAGGCAGTGACTCCCCCCCACCCCAGGAACATACAGCCTAGGTTAGTGCCATTTATTCACACAGTTGGTCATTCAGGCTACACTCTCAAGCATTTACTACACACCAAGAGCTAACGACATACAGGCCTTGAAGAGGCTGAGAGCATCAGGCCACAGGCCACAGGCAAGGGACAATAAGGCAAGTGTGACATTTCTCAGGAAGAAACTGGGGTTCTGAGAAGTAAATCAGCTTGTCCAGAGCCACACAGCTAAGTGTGATGCCAGGGTCCCACCTCAGCCTCATGGTAGCTGCATAACCCTGGGCAAAGTCTTACCGATCTGGAGCCTTGGTTTGCTCACCTGTGAAGAGAGGTTACAACTTCTGCCTCTTGGGTGGTTGTGAGGAAGTAGAGGGTATGCACTGGCCTCACCCAGCACCTCACTTTATCCAAAGGGGCTGGGAGGACTTTGACATTCCCTATCATGCAAGTGTCCAGGTGTGGAGACAATGGGACGCTGTGGCCATTGTTCTCATTGCCAGTTGGTGCAACTAAAGCCAGGCTGGGCATGCGCCAAGAGGAGGTCAGTGTCTGTTTTCAGACATGGCTCCAGGGTGACAGCTCCCATGGGAAAGGGAACAGGAGTGGTGGGAACTTGGCCCAGCTTAGCAAACATAGCAGGTAGAAACACAGCTTGTCCTCCCTCCTGTGGCCGGGGCAAGGACATGGGGAGTGTGAAGCCAGACCTAACTACCCATCTGTCCATCTGTCCCCCCAGATGTCCTGCGATTTGACAACACCTATAGCTTTGTCCACGCCAAGAAGGTCAGCTTCACTGTGGAGGTGCTGCTCCCAGACGAGGGCATGCAAAAGTATGACAAGGAACTCACCCCTTTATAGGCAGCTCGCTCACTTCTCTGAGACCCCTGACCCTCTCCTTTCTCTATCAATATCCTACCACCCTCTGTTCCCTCAGAAATTGATCATTAATCCTCTGGACTCTGTGAGATTAGTGAGTAGAGAAAGAGCTGCCTTGGGGAAGACTTATGTGCTGTGGTTAGATCAGGAGAGGTATGAGAGGCACAGTTTGGAGGATGCCAAGATTGCACAAGAGGCAGAAGCAAGGTGAAAGCAAGAGGTGATGTCATTGAAACCCAAGAAACCAGAAAATGAATCCTTAGCTTTTGTCCTCACTTCTCCTAAGGCATTTGTGTGTGTTCAAATTTCTTCCCTATGAGCTATGAGTCACTTGGGTTACAGATATATCTAAATTCCTTTTACTTCTACTCCTTATATAGTAGGTGCTCAATGTATACTTGTGAAATTGAATGAAGGTAGTGAGCAGGTAATTCACCAGTATGCAGGACAATAAGGAGCTTACCCAGAGCAGATTTCAGCACCGTGGACAGAGACCAGGCTGTGGAAGGGGTAGACTCTCCTGGAGACCCAGGTGATCCAGCCCCCTGGTTTCTGGGAGTGGCTGCCCCCTCAGGTAGGTAGGAGATGCCTACATAAGGCTTTGTCTGATTCAGGGCACACAGCTTTCCCAACCCATCACTCCCACCCTCACCCCCTTCCTTGGAACTCACAGCTTATATTTTAAGCAATTAAAGAAGCTTTACTGAAAGCAAAGGAGGTCCTATCTGGCTCAGGCTGTAGCCTGGTGATAATAATTTAAAAGTCTCAGCTATCATCTGGTGAGTGCTTTCTTGCATACCCCACATGGTGCCAAGTGCTTTATGAGTTTTGCTCATTTCACTCTCAAACCTTCCCTGGGGGCCGCTTATCATGGTCATCTTATGGATAAGAAAACTAAGGCTTAGAGAGGTGACCCCCAACATCATATAGCTCTTAAGTGGCAGATTCAAGACCTAAGGTTTGTTTTTTCTTTACTCCAAAGACATTGCTTTTAATTGTCTATAATACCACTTCCTAAGACCCTACTTTCACAAAGAAGGAGAGAAGGAATGACTTGTTTGTCCTAGATCTTCCAGCAGAAGTGTCCTGGGTGTCACCCTCTCCAATCTCAGTTTGTGGGCAAAGTATGTGTTATGCCCACTGGTCAGCTGGGGCAATGGAGACCCCAGTGCTCAACTGCATGATGTTTGTCCAAGGAAACTCACAACAAAATGGACTAGGGTTTTGCTTCTAAGCCTAACACCCTGTCCATTCACATGGCCTCTGAGAAGCATGACCCCCTGACACCCACCATGGCTTTGGGTGACTGAGGGAGAAGTTGGGTCTCCAAGACATTCCTGTTCCAAGCCAGGGACACAGAGACACTGGCTTGAAACCTAGGACCTCTTACCAGAAGGTACCAAATTACACAGAGAACGTGGGTAGGTAGAAACCAAAGGGCTGGCTGGTCCTTGGGAACAAGCTGCCCAGAACCAAGGCTACTGGAGTGAGCCAGAGTGGAAGGCCTGACTCCAAAACCAATCAAGCAAATGTTCAGCAATGGCTAGCACTTTCCATCCGCACTTATGGGTGCAGGATTTTATCTCCATTTTATAGATTGGAAACTGAGCTCCCAAAAGACACTGGCCTGGTTTCCTTTGGCCTATGGGTAGCAAAAATGACACTTAAGGCCACCCTCCCTCACCTACTCACTCCCACCAAATTCACATTACTGTAGCAATTTTCCAGAATAAGACAAGACTGCTGACTCTCAGAGTTGGGGAAGGTGAGGGAGGAAGGAGAGGAAAAGGAAGAGAGCATTGTCAGATTTTTTTGGGGGGGAAAGCAATATATGGAACATACTTAAAATTGTTTATCTGAAATTAAAACTTAATGGGGCATCCTGTATTTTATCTGGCCACCGTACAAATGAGGGAGAGGGAGAGGGAAGGGAGAAACAGGGCAGAAAGGAAAGAGGGGCATGGGGTCATTCTCTTGGAAGACTGTGGTAGCACCAGCAATGCGGGTCAAGGGGTTCCTGGGAGTGGTTGGCCCAGAGTTGATGGGGTGCAGCACCACCAGATGCCCTCATTTGCCTGATCTCCTCTACTGCCGATCAGAGACCTCACTCTGAGCAGAAGGGTACTTGCTACCCGGAGGCAGGGGCAGCCCCTGGAGCCTAGGCCAGGGCTGAAGCCAAGAACCAAAAAGCGCCCCTCAGCATCTGCTGACGCCCAGCCACGGCAAACCAGCTCCTACTCTATTTCCACCATCAGTGGGAAATAGCCCTCCCGGGCTCCCAGCCTCACTCAGGGGCCACTTAGTTCCAGTTCTCAAAGTCCAGGAGGTGGTGAAGGGGGGAGGGGGAAAGGCCCTACTTTGTCACCGTGGCTAACGGGCACCCCATTCCAGCAGTGGTCAGCAAGCAGTGTAGGGTCAGGAAGACCGAGGCCCGCATGCTCCCTACCGTGTGTGAAGGGCAATTACATTTCTGTGCCAACGGCCCAGAAGTGACCAGGAAGGAAAGGTCTCGGCTGCCCTTGGTGGCTGCAGGCTATTTCCCATAAGACAGATCAAATTTGGCAGTCTGGGCAAACTCCATGCAGACTCCATGCAGACTCCAGGCCAGGGCAACCCATGGGCAGAGAACAAGCCAACTGGTGCTAAACAGGCACCCTCCCCAGAGAGCCCACTTCACATCATGCAGTTAAGAGGTCATATTTATCCCCCAACACACATGAGTGCCAGGGAGAGTTAAGGCAAGACCAGAGCACTAGAGAAATAGAAATCTTTATTGTGCGTAAATAAAAGGGTGGTTTAGTTGTCTTCCGAAGGGCCTGCTGCCTCCCAGCTTTCCTTGATGGGTAGACTGGGACATCATATCAATCTCCTCTTCAGAAGAGGGTCTCTCCATTGCCCCAGCCACTGACTCCATCTCCTGGGTGTCCTGATCAGACAGGCCGCCCCCGCCCCCAGCATGCTCCCCAGCCAGCCAAGGGGGCAGTGCAGCTGGAAGACCTTGCCCACCTTCTTCAGGGTCAGCAGCGGAGTGATCCCACTGAATGCCAACACCAACGCCACCAAGTCCTTCAGCGTCTTGCAAGAGGCTGGGAGGGATGGGGCGAGGGAGTGGCTCAGGACTGCCCAGAGGTGTGGGACAGGCCATGCAGGACAGCTGGAGCGGACCTTGAGCCCAGAGTTCTTCAAAGTAGGAAAAGAAAAACCAGGAATATGTGGGGAAGCAGGGTGTTGCTGGGGATAGGACAGGGCAGTGAGGTCAGGACTGAAGGCAAGTGTCCATGAACCTGGATGGTGGAGGGGGTGACCAGACCTTTTCGGGCCTAGGCTGCCTCCCAGCCCTGCACCTCCATTTAAACCATGATGTCGGCAGCTTCTTGAACTTCAGTGGCCCCACAACCACCATATGGGTGTTTCCTTCACCTGGGAACTCTGGAGAGGGGAAGCTGTTAGTCCTGGCATCTTCCTCCCCTCCCAGCCCCTGGCAGAGGCTCCGAGCCAGCTAACTCCTAAGTAGGTGTGTGTTCAACTGCTAAATGGGGGCAGGGGGCAGTGAAGTGTCACCTAACAGGAATTAAGAGAAAATAACTGAACAACACAAATAGCCATCCCCAAGGTACTGATTCAATGCTAATACTTCCATCCCGTGGATATACATCATAAATGTCAAAGAGGGGGCGCCTGGGTGGCTCAGTTGGTTAAGCGCCTGCCTTTGGCTCGGGTCATGATCCTGGAGTCCCGGGATCGAGTCCCGCATCGGGCTCCCTGCTCTGCAGGGAGTCTGCTCCTCCCTCTGACCCTCCCCCATCTCATGTGCTCTCTCTCTCATTCTCTCTCAAATAAATAAATAAAATCTTTAAAAAATAAATAAATAAATGTCAAAGAGGTATCTGACCGACAGAGCTGTCTGTAGAGTATTCTAGAAGGTTATAGAATACCATAAAAACTGGACCATTATATTCATGTGTACATACAACAAAACCTGCCTGGATATGGTTACAGTAAGATGTTCATTAACGATGGTTTGTGTTGTAGGATTAGATCTTTTTTGAAGTATCTAAGTCGTCTTGGATGGTTATATATTTGTTTATTGTATTTGCTTGGTAAAGGAGGGCAGGAGAATGAGTCATTAGTGTCCCCAGCATAGGTCCTGGCGCCAAGCAGAGCAAGCTGCCCTCTCCAAGCTCCATGGGACAGAAGAGGCAGCTGCAGGCGACCTGATGGCCCACAGCCTACCCCACCCCAGCCACGATTTCTTCCCAGCCCCTGCCCCCTGACTTACCACCCTGTCTACCCTCCCAGCCCAGGGGCCATGCCCGTGGCAGATTCAGTGACATCCATTGGCCACACAGGCCATGGCCCTGCCCCCCCCAGTGGCCCCTCTAACCTGGTCCTACTCTGCCTTACCACAGCGCCAGCCTCTTTGTGGATGGGAGCAGCTGAAGTCACAGCCGTCATGCACAGAGCTCTCCCACTTACCAGCTGCGAGCTGCCAATGGTCCAGACAGAAAGACATGCTCAGTCGGGGGGGTGGGGGGAGTAGGGGGAAGACAGTCTGCCCCGGGGGAGAGGCACGCCCCAAATCCCAATTCCAGCATGGCCCCTATTAGCTGGGTGACAGCAGGCCATCCCCTGGCCTCTCTGGACCCCCCTCTCCCTGGTTTGCCTATACCAGGGAGAGGCCACCTACATTTCCAGCATAAGGATTTCCCATGGTACAGATGAAGCATCCCAGCATAGGGCCAGGTGGGGCCTTCCACCTCTCCCTACTGCCCAGCTTCCAGGACCCAGGGCCCGCACATCATGGCAGCAAACACTTTCACTTTGGAAATGGGTCCCCCTACCCCCAAGGCCCAAAATGGGGAAGGGGTTTGCACAGTGTCCCACAGCTCGAAAGAAAGAACCTTCACCTGTATGAGGAAGTGTTGTAAAAACAGGATTTCCGACCAGTCTCAAGGGTCTTGTCCAACTCCAGATGCTCACCAAGCAAGTGATATACACCTTGGAAGGATGGACTAAGGAAGAATCTGGAACACCAACACCCATTGAGAGGGTCCTCCTGGGCTCCCATGGCTCCTCTGGATCCCTATCGCACTGCCATTCTCAGGGGTTAGGGTTGCCAGATAAAATACAGGCATCCATTTAAATATCTTAAAATTTAGTCTAAATGGGTCTCGGGGAATATGTGTGACCTGTTTATACTAAAAAAAATCATTTTTTATCTGAAACTCAAGCTTCACTGGAAATCCTGTAGTTTTATTTGCTGAATCTGTAGACCCTATCAGGGGATCCAGTACCCCTCTCTGGGCTGACCCCCAGCTCTACCCAAAATAGTCCTGGGAAGGGAAGCAGAGTAATAGGAAGAGTGTCCCCAGACCTCCAGCTGGGACTGAGGCACGGCCCTCACCTCATTCTCTTCCACATCATTGTTGAGCATGAAGGCCTCCACACCGAACTGTAGTGTCTCATCCTGCTGGGACCAAGGGCCAGACCTGGGGCCTATTGAGTGGCACCTGGGGACAGCCAAGGGGACCAGAGGGACCTTCAGCTCAGAGACTGGCCAGACCAAGTTTCCTGGGAAGGCATGAAGAGGCTCATATTCTGGGACCTTCTTGCCACTTAAAGCCACATTAGAGAATGTCCACCCCCTTACTGGAGCTCAGGGACAGTTGTGTTTAGCCTGAGCAAAGAGCAGATGTTAGAAAATCAGCCCCAAGTGATAAGACTCTAAGGCTTCTGCAGCCGCTCAACAGCTTGCACCCTGGCTGGGAAGGACAGCCCATCCTTTGCCAAACTCACAGCCCAGGTGGACATGTTCAGACCCAGACAAGTTCAAACCAGACACAAAAAAAGGCTGGTCACCAATGACCAAGTGCAAAAAGACAGACCTCTATACGTGATTACACCAACGGTCCAGCTAAGCCAAGACCCCAGGGTAGGGATAAGCCCTCTGCCCTCCCTCTTGCTCTCCCCGCAGCCTCATAGACCCTCGGTGGAAGACAAGGGTGTATATCCTCTGGGAGTGGTTCAGGTACCAGTTCTGAGAGCCCACACACTCATCCCCATAGAGTTTCACAGCCCAGTTTGATACCAGCTGGATGCAGGCTTCAAGAGTCCGCCATGAGCCTTCTACATAGGCAACCCATCTGAGGGAAGAGAGGGAAGAGGGCTATTCCCAGCAAGTAGTCATGGTCGCCTCCTAACAAGCATCTACTGCATGCCTATTAGGTCGCAACCATAATTCCATTTATTCCTGAATGGTCCTAGAAATGTTTGCTATACCCATTTTACAGGTGGAATGATGGAGGCTCAGAGAAAAGGTTGAACTTCAGTTCTCTTACCCTGGTCTCATCTACCAAATGGGTGCACACCTGTCCCACCAAGGGCAGAAGACTGAGGCCCGACACAGGATGGTACAGGTGGCCCACACTCTGCCCTCCTTAGGCAATCCTCAGGGATCCCCACTCCACCCCCACCATGGCTACATACACCAGCCCTGAGACTCACCGCGCAGTACCTGGAGGGTCACCTGCAGGGGCTGTGGGGTATGGGGTCAGGGCTCCTGGGGGGGGCGTCCTTTGGAGGGCTCGGTGGGGTCCGTAATGGGCCGGCTGCAGCAGAACTGTTTGCTTCCTGCCCGAGGAGCAGCCTAGGCTGGGTGACTGCAGAGGAGGGGGCACCATAGGTCAAGCGGGTCTGGTGGGTCCCCACAGACAGACTGAAGGGCAAGCCCTGGGCAAGTTCCCACGGGGGAGGTAATGGGAGTGGAAAGGTCAAGGAGAACCTGCTAAATAAGCTTGCCCAGCACTGAGTATCATCATAGCTGTCGTTAGGGGCAAATTCACACACGCTGTGTGAACTGCACGACCACCTCTGTTTTACAGATGTGGAAATAGAGGCAGGAAGTCCTGCTACCATCTGCCCATGGTGCTTACATGGAGCTATCAGCTGCAGAACTCAGATTCAAACTCAGAAGCAAGGGCTCTTCTGGAAATATTGAAAGGTTGGAGTTTTGATATGGTCAGACTCAGAGGATACCAAATGGCATTAAAATGAAAGCTGAGTTTAACTTTACCCCCTCCCTAACAGAAACGTCTTTTCATCTGGGCGAGCAACTGTTTAAAAGCTCACTCACCCCTGCATGGCCCCCAGTGAATTCTTTTTACCATTTGGTCTTCTGACCACCTTGCTGCACTATCTCAGGAGGGATCATCTCGACCCAGAGGGCCTCAGGCAGACCAAAGACCAGAAAGGAGTTTTAGGGGTTTCTTTTTTGTGTGTGTGTATGTGGTTTTTTTTAGGTAAGAATTTAAGGCATTTGTTTAGTGTTTGCTAGGTATTTACTTCATGGCTGGCTCTGTCTTAGAGGCCAGAGGTACAGAGGTGGGGTGGGACCCTGCCCCCAAGTTTGGCCTGGCTGGGGAGCCCAAGACTCAAGAAGCAGGTCAGCCTTCAAGTCCAGAATGGTCCTGTTCAGCCTGGGACAAGGCTGAAAGGCTCCCAAGAAGCAGGGTGAAGGTCAGGGAAGAAGAACAGGTGACTCAGGGTTCTGGTGTCCTCAGGTCTCGGGGGGGGGGGGGGGGCGCGGGGGGGAAGAAACAAGGGACTCCAGAGCTGGAGGCTGTGGGAGGTGAGGCTTGGCATCCTGGGCATACCTGGAGGAGGGAACTTCTTTCCTAAGGGCCTATGAGTTGCTGTGCTGGTTGCCTTTCAACACTTGGCCTCACCTCCCATAGCCTCCAGCCCTGGAGTCCCTTGTTTCTTCCCCCGCTGAGAGCTGAGGACACCAGAACGCTGGGTCGCCCGTTCCTCTTCCCTGACCTTCACCCTGCTTCTTGGGAGCCTTTCAGCCTTGTCCCAGGCTGAACAGGACCATCCTAGACTTGAGGGCTGTCCTGCTTCTTGAGGCTTGGGCTCCCCAGCCAGGCCCCTACTGCTGCCCAGGCCAGACAGCGTGGGACGAGTTATCCTCAAGGAGGCTCACCAGGTGCACTGCTGGCAGGGGGGAGGCTCAGCTCAGGGAGGGCAGGGGGAAGGACCCCCACCCAGCACTCCAGATCCTAAGGGAGCCTCACTGCCCAGACCTCACCAAGCTGCAGCAAGACCAGAACAACCTGCAGGAGCCCCCTGGCAGCGGCCATAATGAAAAGAAACATGGCCAGCCCCCCACAAGCTTCCTTAAATTGGCCCAGAAGAGGCTGGGGAAGGAACCGCTTCACCTGGAGCCCCTATGGCTGAGTGGGGCACAGGCCAAATACTTCCACACTCCCCCCGCTGCCCGCCATGCCTCCTGATTTTAGAAAGGACCCCAAAGTCCTCCTTACTCATGAGGATTTAATAAGGTTAGTTAAGAGTTACCGCTGCGGAAGGCTTACTGCACAGTGGGCTTCATTTTCTCAGCTGTAGGTTGGGGATGGTGTCTACCTCATTGGCTCTTACGAGGTTATATGTAACACAAGGCTTGGTGCAGTGCCTGCCATACAGCAAGCGCTCCATCCAGGTTTTCTGTGGGTGTCTTTCATAACTCTCGTCCAAGGGGAGGGGGGCAGCGTGATGACTGAGGGTGCTGTACGGCAAGATGATCCTGTCTGGGAGGAAAAGTCGAGAAGCATTCATGGGGCAGATACCATCAGAGCTGGACGCTGAGGGCTGGCAACAGAGGAAGACAGATGGGGAGGGGCGCCTGGGTGGCTCAGTCGTTAAGCGTCTGCCTTCGGCTCAGGTCATGATCCCAGGGTCCTGGGATCGAGTCCCACATCGGGCTCCCTGCTCCGCGGGAAGCCTGCTTCTCCCTCTCCCACTCCCCCTGCTTGTGTTCCCTCTCTTGCTGTGTCTCTCTCTGTCAAATAAATAAATAAAATCTAAAAAAAAAAAAAAGACAGATGGGGAGAGGGCACTCCTGGCCGGTGGCGTGGCCTGAGTGAAGGCACAGAGGTTAATGTGCAGGGCACATCCGGGGAATGGCAAGGCCTCAACGGAGGCAGGAATGCAGGTGCGCGGATGCGTCATGGTGAGAGAGAAGGCTACCAAGACCTTGAGGCTCTGAATGCCAGG